CTCCTCTTCTCTATCTCATCTCCAAGTCAATGGGAGTCAATGGACAGGGTTGAACTCAGCCCATTTCTTCATTGCTGCCTTTCCCCCTCTTCCACTCACCAGTAGACCAATGTGGTTGCCAGCAAACTTACATGCCTGCTCATGTGTTCCCTCTCAGTTTCAGTCTTAGAGAGGGGTTTGTCCTGAAGGAACTTGATTGCTTGCCTTGATTGCTATCAATACATCTTGATTGCATGTTTTATCAATTTCAGACTAAAAGTTGGTAGAATTCTTCAGTTTCATCATCACTGGCTTTTGTGGTTGGTGTTTAAATTTGAATAATAGTGGTATTAAACTGGTAATTCTTGTAGATATATGGATATTATCCTATTATAGACAGCATTGCACTTCAAGATAGATCTTGAAATCTTCTTTTTGACGATGAATATGATACCATCATCTTGAATTTGTCAGTCTTGCCTTAGTAAACCATAGGATTGCCTGATTCAAAATGCCCATTGCCTGTCCATTTTAACTCACTAATACCTAGGATATCAATCAATCTTTAGGCATTCCATTTAGTTTTTGACAACTTCCAATTTTTCTAGGTCCACGAACTAGAAAAGCTGTTTCTTCTCATTTTGAGTTGTGCTCCATCAGCAAATGATGACTGAAAACTTTGCTCTATTCATGTCATTACGGTCAACTCTCCTTTGAAGAAGCAGCTCTTCCCCAGTCATAGTTTCAGTTCTTTCCAACCTAGGAGGCCTATCTTCAGGCATTATATCCGACAATGTTCTTCTGCTGTTCATAAGGTTTCAGTGACTAACCATTCTGAAATAATCTGCCTCTCTTTCTTCCTACTCATAGTCTGGAATCTCTGCTGAAACCTGTCCACCATGGGTGGCCCTACTGGTATTTAAAATACCAGTGGCATATAGCACCACAAAATGCAAGCCACCACAGTATGACAAACTGACAGATGAATGTTGAAGGGATCATGGTATGTTGTTAAAACTCCACTGGCTCTGAAGGCATAGTGACCTGGGTACAAGCCTGGGCTCTGGTCCCTCCTAGCTGTGTGACCTCAGGCAAGCCACACTGCGTATCCAGGTCTAGGTCTCCTAATCTATGAAAATTCAATAGTAGGTATAACTTGTAAGCTTTTTGAAAGATTCAATGAGGTAATACGTGTGAACAGGTCAGCTCAGTGCCTGGTACATTATAGTCACTTGTTAGTATTGTGTTTGTCCCTCTCTTCAAGGGACTATCTTATTCATTTCAGCCCAGTACTACAGGCTTTGGGGACCCATTTGATATCCCTGTTCTAAATCTGTAGCATTTGGGGCAAATATTTAGTCCCTGGGAACCACTCAACCACCTGAATTTTAGACATGGCCACCTAAAATGAGGGGGCGATAGAGGCATGAAGTGACTAGTTTACAATGTTTCAAGAGGGAGTTTAAGAATGTGTGAGGGAAGATAGAGTTACCATTGAATAGTTTTCATCTTGTCTGGATGGGTCTGGTGAGGATGGTGCAAGCCATGTTATGCTTGGCCTAAGGGGTAGGAATATGAAATAAGTAAGGAAGTATTGGTAATAGGGTTCCAGTTCATGTATGCATGGGTTTATTCCAAACAAAATATGTTTAACCATATCTCTGTCATCAGTGGATGGCTGCAGACAAGTTTTTCAATAATACACTTGTCTTAGTCTCATTAGAGGGTCTTCAGAAAAGCACGAATCGAAGCAGTGGAAATAAAGAATTAAAAAAAAAGGTTATGGAGACTATTTTCTGGAATTCCACAGAAATAATCTTGATAAGGGAGTCTTGGTGTGGCGCTGTGGGTTAATGCACCAGACTGCAAAGCCATTTGAACTGCAAAGTTGGTGGTTCAAGCTTACAAGCTGCTCCTCGGAAACCCTATACAGGGTTTCTGTGGGTTGGAACCGACTCGATGGCACATCACAACAACAATAATCTTGATAGATTTCAGACACGGGAAGATCACAGGGACTTCTCATGAAGTGTTAAGAAAATTGGAAACTGTGCTGATGAGGTGAAGGCCAGGCTAGTTGCACAGAGGAATTTTTCCCCATCAATAACGCATCCACTTAGTCTTTGAGGGCAGCAAGGACTGTTCTATGATAATTTTGCAGGGAATCCTTGCCTCTCCACCCTACAGCCCTAATCTTTCCCTTTCAGATTTCTTTTGGTTTCTCAAATTCAGAGAAAATTGAAGAATACAGAATTCTTCAGGGAAAGGGGTAGAGAGATGGAAATATCACTCTCAGATGTGTATACGTCTAAATGGAGGGTATGCTGAGAAAGAATAGCTTCACATTTTGGTATTTTTTTAATAAAAGTTTTTATGATTTTACAGCAATAATTTTGACTTACCCTCCTTTTGTAGACCAAATTAGGATTGTCAGATTTAGCAGCTAAAAATACAAGCTATCCAGTTAAATTTGAATTTCAGATAAACAATGGATAATTTTTAGTAAATTGGGACATAGTTATACTAAAAATTATCCGTTGTTTATCTGAATTCAAATTTAACTGGCGGCCTGGTGTAGCACTGTGGATGAAGGTACCAGACTGCAAAGCCATTTGAACTACAAGGTTGGCGGTTCAAGCTCACCAGCTGCTCCTCGGAAACCCTATACAGGGTCGCTATGGGTCGGAATTGACTCAATGGCACTTAACAACAACAACCTATATTTTATCTTGAAACCCTAGCTCAAGCTCACACTGTTAAGAGTCTTGAGGAGTGAAGCGGGCTTCCAACTGTAAGAAGCAAATCTGTATTTGCACAGATTCTAGACCCCAAGTCCCTCTTCCCTTTACAAACAACTCCCATGCTTGGTCCATATGATCATGATGCCTCAATGGTCCAAGCCCTGGTAAAAACTCAGGAAACGGACTTGAAATGTATTTCTTTCAACAGAAAATATGGAGCCCCTGCGTTCTTGGGTGGTGCAAATGGTTAAGCACTCAACTGCTAGCCAAAAAGTTGGTGGTTTGAACCACCTAGAAGTGCCTTGGAAGACAGGTCTGTTGATCTGCTTCCAAAGATCACACACAGCCTTGGAAACCCCGTGGAGCAGTTTCACTGTGCGCACAGCATGTTGCCATGAGTCGGCCTAACTCTAAGGCAAATAACAACAGCATAGCAATGAGGAAAAGAGATGAACTAAGCTACCCTCCCTTATGACGCTGTGTTCTTGGCATGAGACATACAACAGCAAAGGAAACAATCACGCATAAGTCACACAGTGAAAATGCTAAAAATAAATAAATAAAGGCATGTCAAGGGGTAGGAGGGTTACAAGTTAAAAGAGTCACCACCAACACCTCCTCACCCTTTAGAATATAAAAAGTAAAAATGACGGGCAATACCATGTGCTGGCAAGATTTGGAGCAACCAGAACTCTCATACACCACTCATAATAGCATCTCCCCACTGTGGAAACTGTTCAATGCTATATCCTGAAGCTGAACCCCACCACCCAGCAATTCCACTCCTAGGAGTAAACAAATGTGTACCTACGGTAACCAAAAGGCGTGTACTAGAATGTTCACAATATCACTGTGGGTAAGAGCTAGAAACAGCCTAAATGTCCATCGTCATAGAATAGAGCATTAAGAGGTGGTATACAGAACTATGGGAATTTATACAGTCCTGGGAAGGAATGAATGACTGCTACACATAACCAAATGGATGAATCCCACTCATGTAATGTTGAGAAAAAAGAGCCAGACAGTTGTGAGTCCATTTATAGGCAGTTCAAAAGCAAGCAGAAGTAGTTTATGGGTCAGAAGTCAGGAGAGTGGTTACCCTGGGTGGGGAGCCACTGGAAGGCACAAGGGAGCTTCTTGGGTGCAGGTCATGTTTCACTTCTTGCTAGTTACATGGAATGTTCACGGTGTGCAAACTTATCAAGGGGTTAAGATTTGTGTACCTAGCGGCTTAAAAAATGGGGTGGCCAGAAATCCCTGAGCAGTCCTCTCTTGCAGGAACCAGAGACCAGGAGGACACCAACACCAAGGAGCTCTATGAGAGCAACAAGCGCTTCCTGGGACCCTACAACTCCGCCAGCCCGTGCCAGAACATTCTGCGTGTGATCGCGGTGACTCCTTACCTCCCCCTCCCTCAGCTGGCCCCCATTGCAAGAAGCCTTCCGACCCCTCCCTAGCACCCCTTCCTCCCCTGGTCGGGCCCACTACTCCAGAGCCATGGCCTTGTTGCTCCGGATGGGTGCCTCCTAAGTTCTGGAAGCAGGGACCAGGTCACCCTATCTTCTGCCGCCTCCCCTCTCCCCACCCCATTCCCACTGATTAACTGAATGTGCATGGGCTCCTCTGTGACTGTGCTTATACACCTGGGTATTGCCTCAGGTGTGTCAGCAGCTCTACACCTTTGTTTCAGGAATTTGGGGACTTCCTGGGACCCCAAGAGGTCAAGGACCTGCTGCTGGCTGCCCTGGAGGGGCTGAAGGGTGACTCAGAGGCTCTCAGGAAGGACTCCGGAGAAATGATGCAGCTGGCCTCGGAAGTCACGCTCAGCTCGGTGCTGGAGTGGTACAGGCACAGGGCACTGGAGGTGGTAAGGCCCCCTGCAGGCAGGGGCTGGAGCTGTCACTGAGGAGGTTGGCATTCTGGGCAGCCTGCTTTTCTGTGAATGGGGCTGGGGGCTAAGGGAGAGTGGCGATGGAACCCCCACCAAATGCTGGGGCAGAACAGGGTGGGGGAGTTGTAGCTGAGTCTGGGAGCCCCCAATGTGCAGGTTGCTCCCTACTCCCAAGAAAAAGTAAATTGAGCTGGGGGCAGGGAGGTGGCAAGGCCGTCGGCTCACCCCGGGGAAGGGGCAGGTGCCCTACTCACCAATCGCCCCCATTTCTCTCTCTGGTCTCTCCTCTCCCTGCCTCCTGGCATCCTCTTCCCTGTCACACCCTCTCTCTACCTCCTCACAACTCCACCTTGCCGCCCCCTTGGCTTCTCCATCCTCCTCCCACCCACTCCCTTTCCATTCCTGGCTGCCTGTCTGTGCCCCAGATCCCAGAAATCATGCAGGGTATCTACGTGCAGCTGAGTCACATCCAGGAGCCGCGGGCCCGTGAGGTGGCCCTGTTGCCCGTCTCCCTCCTGGCCAGCTCCTTCATGACTGAGGTCGTTGTGGCCCTGCTCATGTGCCCCCTCCCTCTGGACAGGTACCAATGGGGAACTGGGTACCCCTCCTTCTGCTCCCCTGCCCTCCCAGAAGGCCTTTCTTCACAAGCACTGCTGGGGGTCAGGCACCATGCTGGACATTTAATATACTGTTGACTTCTCACAATAATCCCATTCTACAGATGAGGAAACTGAGGCTTTGGGACAGTTTCTTGCCCTACATACCCAGTAAGCAAGCAACAGAAGCAGGACCTGAACTCAGGTCTGACTGACTCCAAACCCACCAAAAAAACCTAAGCCCACTGCCATTGAGTTCATTCCAACTCATAATCCCATACAGCGTTTCCACGTCTTGATGGGAACAGAAAACCTCATCTCTCTCCCTCAGAGTGGCTGATGGGTTTGAATTGTTGACCTACAACTAGCAGTTCACTGCTTATTCTACAATGCCACCAGGACTCCTTGACTCCAAGCCCAGAATCCTTTATTGATGCCAGGAGAAGGAAACCTGAGTGTTTTCCTTGACTCTGCCTCCAGAGGCTGTGTGATCTTGGGCAGCTGCTTACCCTCTCTGGGCTTCAGTGATCCCCCCATAATCAAAAGGAGGTAATACCCCTGTATCCTCATCTTGGGGATGTAAGGGTGGTAATGTCCTGTGTACCTGCTAGGGCCTGGTCTCTACAGGAGGACAAACATGCCCATGTTCAGATGGGCAGAGGGGACTGGGGCTAGGCAGTGAGAGATCAGCTGGTCTCAGCCTCACAGCCCAGGAAACAGTCCACTTGTTCTGTGAATGAATAAAGCAAGGCATTGTGTGTTATTGCTGTTATTTGCTGTTGAGTAGATTCAGACGTATGGTGACCCCATGGATGTCAGAGTAGAACTGCTCCCCAGGGGTTTCTTGGGCTATACTATTAAGCTAAGCAGATCACTAGGCCTTTTCTTTGACAGTGCTGCTGGGTGTCTTTAGGTTAACAGCTGAGCACAAAGTTGTTTGAGAACAAATGTGAAAGAATTGCGCAGAACTAGGCAAATGGAGCCTGCTTCTAGTAGGGAATTTTGTTATTATTCATAGAGACTTAGAGGGATGCCCATCCTCTCACCTGGAAGGATTTAACCCTTGGTGAGTTGCACCGCCCATGTGAGAGTTGTCTTCTTGGGTCCAACTAAACATTCAGACTCACAAGACCACCCTGGGCCACACTTAACACTGGAGTCACCCTAAGAGAGTGCAAGGGAATGTCAGGGGCTCCTCTTTGTAGGGGTCCTCACAGCCATTCAAGCAGACTGGGCTGGGACTGGGATAAGATCAGGGAGGCATTCAGAGTGCAAAATTTAACTCAGGTGCCCAGGTTGTGTTTGTAGGAGTCTGAGAGTGAGTACCTCCTTAAATCTTGGGCCCTGGCTGGCTCATGTGCATCAACCTCTGTTTGGTCCTGAGTCCAGTAGTTGAAAGCTCAGGTGTGAGGGAAGGGGTCTCATTGGCTGGGTGCAGGCTCAGACTTCACAGGAATTACTCTGTCTCCTAATAACTCCACAGCCTTTGCTTTCAGGGTCCTGGCAGGGACAAGCCCAGTTACTAGTCATTGCACCCTAGGAAGCTCACTGCCACAGGGTCCCCACCCAGTTCTTATAGTTAATTTGAAATTCCTTCTAGCCCAGATGCAATTTACCAATCAGGTCATTTTTTACCATAAGCAATGTTGCCTAGCAACATAGTTGACATACTATCTTTATCAGGTTTCCAGGGGAACTGAGCAAGAAAGTTAATGGAAGGTTCAAATGCTCATGTAGAAGGAGGAAAGGGTTCTGTTAACCCTTTACACACTGGTCCATCAGCACTGCTCCCTGACTTTATATGACAAGTGCAAGGCCCAGGGCCCCGAGGGTTCAACTGCTTAGATGCTTGCTCCTTGGTATGGAAGAAAGAACATAGGCTTTGGAGACATAAAATCAGCCAACCAACAATCAAAACCTTGCTGTTGAGTTACTTCTGACTCATAACCTTTCAGTTAGCATCCAGCACTTAACCAATTGTGCCACCCAGGGCTGGAGACATCGGACCTGATTAAATCTTAACCCTGTTGCTCATCAGCTGTGTAGTCTTGGACTAGTGACTTCAACCTTCTGAGCCTCAACTTTACATCTGTAAAATGGGAATAACAACATCCACTTTGAGAGTCATGGGAGTTCAGTGACCCTGAATATCTTGACTATCTTGTTTCCATCTGTCTCCCCAGAGATTTGACTTAGTGCCTGGCATACAAGAATTACTCAATAAATATTTGCTAGGGTAATAAATTGTACCAAAGGGGTTTCAAAAAGTCCATGGAAAAATTCCATTATCTTTTCATTTCATTTTTTCCATGAAGTTTTTGAAATGCTCTCCTCTGTAAGTATCTGGCACAATAACTGGGAAATCGCTTTTTCAATAATTGTTAGCACTCCTGCTTCTTGGAAACTGTTTTCGGGACCATTCCTTAGATGTCATTACTATGACATCATCTCCTTCCCCTCCCTAAACCACTGGAGGCAGGACAGACCCCACTGCCCTGACCACCACTAGCCCTCCTTCCCCTGACCTCTCAGCAATGGAGCCGAGATGTGGAGGCAGCTGATACTCCGCAAGCCCAGCTGTGATGTCCGAGACCTCCTGGACCTGCTCCTCACCAGCCTGAAGGAGAAACCTGTCACCAAGAAAGGCCGGGCTTCCATTGTGCCCCTAGCGGTAAGGACATGCCCCCATCTCTCCCCCCTCCCATGCTTCCTTTCTCCTTTTCACCCTCTACTGAGCTCAGCATACCTCTGTTTGGCTTTTGAGTTCCCCAGGCTGCCAGTAACTAGTTATGTGGCCTTAAGCAGGTCTCTGTCTCCTGGTTCTTGTGATCTACTAGACAATAGCAATCATACTATATACAGTGACAGCAACAGCCTGGGACAGTGCAAACAGAACTGGCTTGGAGTCACAGCCCTGTGTCTGAGTCGGGCTTTATTAGTTTGTGACTTGGGCAAGTCACTTTAACTCAGCAGAAAGCTGAGTTTCTGCTTCCGTAAATGGAAAGAATATGTCTTATTTGGTGATTGTGAAGCTTAGAGACAACTCATTCCTTCATTTAAGCAACACAAAATGTTTAAGTCCTTCTTGCTGCGAGGCTCAGAGCTGAGCCCTGGCACACAGAGGAAAGAGACAGCTCTGACATTCAGTTCAGGGAGGTGGGAAGAGGCTGGAAGGTAGCAGGCACCTGAGGCAAGTGGACTGGAGAGATGGATTTCTTTCTGCCTCCATTACCATCGCCCTGGTCCAAGTCAGCTGGATAATACTTCTGCTCCTCACTCATCTCCCTGCTTCTCCTTGTGCCTCTCCAATGCAAATGTTGCTGTTCAGTTGATTCTAATGGTGACCCCATGTGTGAAGAGTAGAACTGCTCCATAGGGTTGTCAAGGCTGTGACCTGTTGAAAGTAGATTACAGGGCCTTTCTTCTGAGGCTCCTCTGGTGGGTTCAAACCTTTGATCGATAGGCGAGCACTTAACCATTTGTGCCACCCATAGATGCCATCCAATTTGTACCACAGCCTAAACATCTTGGAGAAACATACCTCTGTTCTTCTCACCCTCCTCAATGGCTTCTCATTACTTTTGAGAGCAACATAGTGCTCTTGCCTGTGCTACAGTATCCTGTACCTCTCTCCAGTCTCACCACACTCCATGGTCCTTGGGCTTGCTCTGTCACTGCTTCTACCACATATCCGCCTGCCACAGAGCCTTTGCATGTGCTGTTTGTTGTCTCTGCCTAGAAGGTTCTCCACTTACTCAACTCAGACTCATCTCTCTGTTCTCAGCTCAAGCGTCAACTCCTCAGGGAAGTCGTCCCCAGTGTCTCTGGTCAGGTCAAATCTGTGAATTACACTTTCCCATGGCACATACGTTACCTTGGGAGGATTTGCCCCAGTTTCAATTTGACAATAGTGTGAGAGATGGTTGGATGAATATGTGAGATGCATGAAAATAGAGTTTGTGCCTATTCTGCCCATCAGGATATTCCCAATGCCTAGCACACCCCTGGCATGTAGTAGACACTGGAAATAAAATTTTTTGGGCTGATTTATTTATTCAGTAAATATTTATTGAGCATCTACTGAGTCCTAAGGAGCTCTGGTAGTGTAGTGGTTATATATCAGGCTGCTAACCTCAAGACCAGCAGTTCAAAACTACTAATTGTTCTATGGGAGAGAGATGAGGCTTTCTGCTCCC